CCACTTATAGTCTAACTCCAGGAAGGGGCTGACTGTCTGTGTTGTACCACTTATAGTCAAACACCAGGAAGGGGCTGACTGTCTGTGTTGTACCACTTATAGTCTAACATCAGGAAGGGGCCGACTGTCTGTGTTGTACCACTTATAGTCTAACTCCAGGAAGGGGCTGACTGTCTGTGTTGTACCACTTATAGTCAAACACCAGGAAGGGGCCGACTGTCTGTGTTGTACCACTTATAGTCTAACACCAGGAAGGGGCCGACTGTCTGTGTTGTACCACTTGTAGTCTAACACCAGGAAGGGGCTGACTGTCTGTGTTGTACCACTTATAGTCTAACTCCAGGAAGGGGCCGACTGTCTGTGTTGTACCACTTAAAGTCAAACACCAGGAAGGGGCTGACTGTCTGTGTTGTACCACTTATAGTCTAACACCAGGAAGGGGCCGACTGTCTGTGTTGTACCACTTGTAGTCTAACACCAGGAAGGGGCTGACTGTCTGTGTTGTACCACTTATAGTCTAACTCCAGGAAGGGGCCGACTGTCTGTGTTGTACCACTTATAGTCTAACACCAGGAAGGGGCCGACTGTCTGTGTTGTACCACTTGTAGTCTTACACCAGGAAGGGGCCGACTGTCTGTGTTGTACCACTTGTAGTCTAACACCAGGAAGGGGCTGACTGTCTGTGTTGTACCACTTATAGTCTAACTCCAGGAAGGGGCCTACTGTCTGTGTTGTACCACTTGTAGTCTAACTCCAGGAAGGGGCTGACTGTCTGTGTTGTACCACTTGTAGTCTAACACCAGGGTCTCCTTTCACGAAGCAACCTTTACTAAGGTTAACCTTAACTCCCATTCTTTAACATTGCACTAAGCTTACCCTAGTGACTTACGATCATCTTAGTGCTTTGTGAAAGGAGGCCTAGGGCAACATCATGCACCATCGTTGACATGTTTTGGTTTGGTCATAGCCGTGGACAGAATCACTGGTCCGAAGTTAAAAAATGTTATCTGAAGAACAACTTTCGATAGATAGACCTTTGGATAAAACCATACGGGGACATGCATATGGGGAACTGTCTTCAATAATTCATAAGGAACTTGCTTGTGATAAAAACTCCTCAACCCCCTACCCCCCTTCATGAAATTCTCGCCACTGGATAATTCCTACAGAGATGTCACAGTTGTCACATCCATGGGAAGAAAGATGTTCCATTATATAAACTAATATTCATTAAAATAGAAATCATTATTCCAAACCGTCGTCTGTGTCTTCCTGTAGGCGACCTTGAAAAAGATCCGGGTTCTAAGCCCACATGTTGACCACACTATTAGTGTACCCAGTTCATTCTAAATGTTAAAGTGGCATACCATTACACACAACCAGAGGAATTTACCTGACAACGTTGCTGAAATCCTTTGGGGCTCGGATCTGATATTATCAGGTCAAGAAATAAGAGAGGGTTCCTTATGTCCTGATCATCATCGCCCTGAGCGAACAACTGGCTGCTAATGTCGTGGGATGTTGGGAGGATTGCCCCAGTCTCATCACGCTGGGGTGACTGTGAATAACAGATTAGTAGAAAGATTCTCGTAATCACCCGCAAACAGGCTAGTAAACGAGATCCACAACGACAGTCGTCAAGTGATTACATTCCGGAGGCTCACCGCCCGGCGACGGGCGAGAATATGCCAGAGAAAAAATAGACCCGATATTGGACCGACGTTGCTCCAAGAAGATCGATAAATTGGGTTACATTGCACAATGACATTTTTTCGATTGCTCAGGTGAGAGATGACGACGCTTGTCCGTGTCCTTTTCTGTGTCTCCAACGTCGACGACGGCGAATGCCAACGGCAAAATCAGACCCGAGGAGTTGATAGCTCGGAAGCTGACTGACCGAAGTGAGTTTATGGGGCATCCATTATGGTCTTATACTGCAAGGGACTGGTGTCTTCTGTACTGACTTACACTGATGCTCAAACACATGCAGACGTGAGTATGGTTGTTGAAATACTGGGACACAGTACGTTATTCAATATACACGTGTCATGGGGCGAGGGAACCAAGTAATATGTTTTGAAGTTCTGATCATGAAATACTGATTTTCGCAAAATGGTATTACCTGCCTCTATGCTGTCTTGAAATGTGGTAATTGTTGTGACACAACTTTACGCTTGTGGAATTGATTTGATGCAGCGCCCACTGTGGTGTTGTGCACAGTTATGCGTGCAGTTGTATAACGATTTAGGGGCGTTGTGCGTGTTTTGTTTGATAACGTCGTGCAGTAGCGTATGCTGTGTTGTATAATGCTGTACAGTAGCGAATATGCTGTTGTACAGTAGCATGTTTTGTGTTGTATAATGTTGTACAGTTGCGTGTGATCTGTTGTATAATGTTTCTGAGTAACTTGTGCGTGTTGTGTTATATAATGTTGTATAGTAGTATGATTTGTGTTGTATAATGTTGTACAGTAGCGTGTGATCTGTTGTATAATGTTGTACAGCAGCATGTTTTGTGTTATATAATGTTGTACAGTAGCATGTTTTGTGTTATATAATGTTGTACAGTAGCGTGTGATCTGTTGTATAATGTTTTTGAGTAACTTGTGCGTGTTGTGTTATATAATGTTGTACAGTAGCATGTTTTGTGTTATATAATGTTGTACAGTAGCGTGTGATCTGTTGTATAATGTTGTATAGTAATGTGTTTTGTGTTGTATTATGTTGTACAGTAGCGTGGGATCTGTTATATAATGTTGTATAGTAGCGTGTTTTGTGTTGTATAATGTTGTATAGTAGCGTGTGCTGATAATGTTGCACACGTTGTCAGTGGTTATTTTTGCTAACATTGTACGCTAATGCGTGCTGTGTTGTATTAGGTTGTACAGGTGTCTGTGTGTGTGGTGGTGTGTGTGTGTGTGTGTGCAGTACTTCTTCTATTTGTCTTGTACAGTTGTGAGATAGGTATCTGTACAATGCAGTACAGTTTTGTATTGTGTTGCAAGCTTTATATAATTGTGGAAGCAGAGTTGTGTGTTGTGCAATAGTATGATGTGAATACACCGCGCATGTGTGTACATGTTGATACGAGATGTACAGAAATGACCGAAACGCTTTACGTTGTCTTGTGGTGCCTTGTGTTGTGCTGTGTTGTGCTGTGCTGCGCTGTGCTGTTACTTAGTTATAACTAATGGACGTGTAAATGTGACAATAAAATACACTACTTTACAGTGAGTTAGAGGGTTATGTCTTTGTTGGGCAACACACAACTCTATTATGCAAATCTTGCGGTTACCAACATGTACACACAAGGGACATATTTACCCTTAACATATGTCACCATTACTGATTTTCCACCGCTCTTGCACTCCCAAACGGGTCTGTTTCAGCAGTTAATCGGCAATTCAATTTCTATATTTGGTATAAAGACCAACATTAATACAACATATACCGAATAAAGTTAATCGACATCTTATATTTGATGGACTTGGCGTTATCTATTTACATTAAATATTTAAGGATGCAAATGTACCCCCGTGATGAATCAAAAATATTTCACAGGACACGCCAGCTGATGTCACATGTTACCTATATAAATCAATACTCGTGTGAATTCCTCTACTACCACATGCTCTGTCATACAGCACATCATGTAGGTCAGGGCCGTTTACTAGAATCCACTAGAAAGTGCTATTAGCTTACCCTAATACTATATTCATCTAATCTGCGAGTTACTTGTAAGCCGTTATTTATCACTCCGAGGATGAAGGTATGGAATACAACCGAGCCATTACCAGAATCAACACCGTCCGTGTGCTTACATACTGTCATTATTGATCCTCACTATTCAGGCTCTTCCATGAAAGGACATAGTTTCATGTACTGACACATGTAAGTACAGCAACGACTGCACACCCAACTGCTTCAACACCAGTCTTCATATGTTGCTTTGAAGGTCGACAGCAGTGTACAAGTATGTTAAAGGTTGTCAAAGTCCTTGACAAGCCTTGCTCTAGGGATTCTATGTCAATATTTTACGACCGATGCGAATGGCTTTCAACGCACGAAACCAGTATTACGCTACACGTGGAATATTAAACTGTCACTTTGGGCAGCGGCGTCTCCATTGGGATATTGATTCCGTCAGTCAGTTTAAATGTTTTTACACACCCTCGCAGTGGCATGTTCCGTGATGTTTTTCATGAAATAATTGAAGGTCTAAACAACAGACAAACAGAGGCTGTGAGGACCGGTGACAAGCGAAACTACATAATGTTCGAATTCTAACAATAACCAAGTCACATTCCTTTTTTAAACGAAATATGCTTGACGAAAAGAAGGTAGAGGCCATGAAATTTTGAGGAATAAATTTACAAAACTGTGTGCTTAGTCGTTACTAAAAATGTGAGTTTAGTTTTACGCCGCTTTTAGCAATATTCCAGGAGAATCACGGCAGGGGACACCAGGAATGGGCTTCACACATTGTACGTTACTACAAAAACATCGCCCAACACATTCATGATCAATACATCTTTTTGTTCAGTATATATTTAACTGTTTTAGGGAATTACAGTATTTCTGAATATATCACCTAATGTGTGAAATAGCTTTTAATACTAGGAACATAATACAGTTGTGAAAACAAATATATTGATTGTTCCAATCTTGAGTATCAAAATCTGTTGTACGGACAATGTATCTAATTATGACTTAACATTGTATGCATCATTGTGTCATAATCGCCATAATCCTACCTTAAGAGTGTTAAGCGGGATTATCAACGTGCACAGTTCAACCAACCAGTAACTCTCATTATATATCACAAGCTGCTAATTTTCTATTTAGGTTCACCTGAAAAATGAGATTGAGTTTGGCAAGGAGCTTTCCGACTGACTGAAGGACGAAAGACACCCAGCGTCTTCTCGGCCACAGTGAGAGAGGAGTTCTCAAAGGATGCTGACTGTACCTTCTAAAGTCCCTCGATCATGATCACCAGAGCTTCCTTTATGGGGCTATAAACCTCTGCTGGACTGGCAATAGGGGTACACAGATGGAAAGACATTGGATTACGTTATACTGAATTGGTAGATGGAAGACCTAGAGTGGTGAATGCTCTTCAAAAATAGTGGAAGTGTTTGTAGGTTTGGAATTGTCTTCTATCCTTGCGTGAGTGTAAAGCGGAATTAACGGAGGTCCCGCTTCCGTATCTCACCATCACTTGTGAGATCCATATAATGAATTATTTGAAGTGGATAACTGCTGATTGATTCCAGGGGGAGCGCTTGTACAGGCAGAGTTCTCCTGCAAGATTTGATTGATTTTTGGAACTTCTCAAGTGTACCCGCCTTGCCGCTAGTGCGTTTTAAGGTCGTTGCTGTCGTTGCTACGCACCTATCAACCGAAGACCATCCATGTAGTTGTTGACGCCGATGATACCTGCGTTAATGAAGAGTGAGAACGGTCGTTGTGGTGGACGTGCTAGAGATACAGTGATGGGACATGTTGGCGACAGATGCTAGGAGATACAGCTGATAGCATCTCGCGCTGTTATTGTTGTGTGGATTTTGTATCGGCGCTGTGACATATTGTTTCATATCATCACGACTGGACTCTCATTTACTGCTGGTCCACACAGATGTGTACCTATAACTGCCGTCTGTGGAAGTATGCTGAAACCGAATCTGTGAGTTGGCATGTGGTGTTGTGATATCGGTAACAACAGGGGCAGATCAATGGGGAAAACATGTTTCCAGCCACATGGGACTCTGCCTAGCACAGGAGACAACCAATCTGATACACGAATACCATATCTCTGACACTGGATTGGACATAGAAAGTATCGACTCGGATGCTCATCGCTAGTTTAGTTAACTGTTTAGAACTGTTCGGACGTGAAAGAATGTTCAGGGCATTGGCCAGTGTGATTAGAACTTCAGACACGGGAGGTAATCCTTCACAGATTCACAGACATTCACACACATGAACAGTCTTCTAGATCACTCGCTCGTTGAAACCCTTGTTGTCGGATAGTCAGGCGGCAACAATTGATAGAGGCCGAGTGAATTCATTCGGTGACTGAATGGGACGATAGAGATCCACTAGCACGTCTTAGTAACTCCTGACCTCGTCAATATTTACGTCCCCACCACAGACGGTGTGTTATGGTCACGGAGGGTTGGTCCCGTGTTCTAGGAGTGCTGGACACGTGGGTGTGAGGGTACCTAACGTCTACCGTCCCGGGGACTCAGGCATGGAGGCCCGCAGTAAACTGCGGGAATATCTCTCCAAGGGGAACGTGAAACAGTTGAATAAGTTGCTGAAGGACTTCCCTCCGCGAGCCGTCGCCCAGAGAGTCAACGAAGAACTTGAACCGAATGGGACCACTCCTCTGATTTTTTGTGCCAAAGCGTTGAAGGAGAGTGATGGAGATGAGGAGGAGGATTACGTAGAGTGTTGTTTGGTTCTGATTAAGAATGGTGCCAACGTTAGGGCTAAGACTACGGAAGGGCACACAGCCCTCCATTGGGCAGTCTCCTGTAGTACATCTAACCTGGCTGCAATACTACTGTCAGCAGGGGCAGACCCAAAACAAAAGGATCAAAACGGGATTAACGCCTTACAGGTGGCGATTAAGGACGGTAGCGCTGATAATGTGAAAGTGATACTCGACAAGCGGCCTCAGGTATGTACACCTTTACATTTGGTACTTTCATTGCATAAACTAAACACTCCACGTCGATTGTCACGGTGTTTGGGTACACACTGTATGCTGTTATGGTATCGGTAAACACTATTTACATCGTATTGTGAGTTATGAGGGAAATGGAGGCCTGGAATTGCTCTGTTAATAACCAAGCTATTACCGCCGGCTCTGTTGTGCTCCGATCTCTTCCTTACCATTTAACCCAGCAGTCTGCTCTACCCGCGTGTGAAGGGAATCGATAACACGGAAGTTGGGTGCTTTCTAATGGAAAGGTCTAGCTGATTCCTGACAATTGGCGATATTTGCAATGTCCTGTTCCAATCCGATATCGTAGAGGACAGGACTGAACCTAGCGACCGTATTGATGCATGTTTCGAGCTTTTGATATGGCAGTGATGAGTTATTTTCCACCGACAGTCCACTGTATGTAACGATCAGAAACATACGTAACAAACATAGCCTCCACACAAGCAGTCTCATGGGATTAAATCTTTAAGCGCTGGGATGGACGAATTCAACGTCAGGTATATGAACACATAGTGTGTTTAGGGTCAATATATAGATGAGCATAAAACATACCTGACTACCTCTGTTGTATAACCCACATGAACCACAATGTAACCCGCTAGGCATTGGAATAGGTTCAGTAAGGTTTAATTTACAAACCGTCATTCTCAAACTTTTCATTTCTACACACAAAGTTTTACAAATAAACATTTAGTTAAACCTGTGTTGAACATTCCATATGAGCTAAAGTTGAGTTGAATTTAATTGTGTACTTGTGACTATTATTAAGACCGGTGGACGCGATCTTATTGTCACTGCCCAGTGGTCTCAACTCTTGTCAATGATTACCCTACACCATGCGTGCTATACTTTGTCGTAAAGGCCATTGCAATGTTACCTACGTCTGTCCCACAGGGGTAAAATACACCTATTCAGTCAGACATGACTCAGTAACACCCACTGTGGCACATAAATCTGGAACACGTAACTCCCATGAAACAAGCCACCAGAACGGAGTAATCAGCTTTCAACTTGGACCCTGTAATAAGCGGATTAAACTAAATACCGACGGCTATGAATGTATGGAGAAAAGTTGACTAAAAAACAAGAGCAACATATCGTAGTATGTCCCGCTCTGCCTGGCTGGTTTTCGATTGGCGACACCCAGGAACATACAGCCCTTTAAGCTAGAGCTCACTGAGGGTCGACGCGCTTGTTATGGATGTGCTGGCTTGCTACATAATAGACGCATTGAATGACTATTGTTAAGACTGTGAATGCTGTGTTTCATGCGCTCCACCAAAATGCCTAGATTAATATCGAATGCACATAATACCGGACCAAGTCTGCACTTGGTAACCCCTCAGGCGTTTGAGTTGATGAAAGGCAGAACGTTTTGTACTGTTACGTTCAATTATCATTCAATACATACATCTTGTATATACGGTTGTATTTCTTTAGATCAATAACTAGGGGGCTTGGAATCGTGTTTCGCGAAATTAGGTTACAACAGAGACAAGATATTTGGCTGTACATAGCAGTTTGCGCCATCTTAATCAACTATAAACATGGTAAACTGTGAAAAAACCAGGAATTATCTCTGTACGATAGGACAAATAGCCGTCCACACATTCCATACTGTGTTCATGGTGTAAGTGTATGTGTGTGTATCACCGTGACCTCTGGTTGTACATATGTGTTGTTTGTGTCAAATAATGTATTCTACTCTACGTCTTCAGCATGACTTGTATGTACGGAATTAATAATACAGGCCAATATGTTTCCACTAACTGAACTCGAAATACAATACGTACATATATATAAAGAGGTGAAGTTCAGCAGTGTAAATTCACTTGCAATATATATGTATGCACGCTAGTCCAGCGAGACATATATCTATATCTTATCTAGCTGTCAAGGTTAAACTGATGAAATCTCGATGGACTACCTCTTTAAAAATCAAGAATTGGTCCTGCTTATGCATGCACACACACTCACATGCAGACGCGCGCGCACGTATGCACACACACACACACACACACACACACAAACGCACACAAGCTATGCAAGTGCGATCATAGTTTACGCGACCCATTTCACCTCCTCACTTATAAACTCACATTTGAGTGGAAACAAACAGATGCGACAAAAGTATACAGTTTGTGTAACTTTAGAAATAGTTGCTTCTCTGTACACATTAAATATAGTGTTGAACAAATGATTGCTATTGTGCTGTTTAGTTTATAAACTTTTGGCGTAATAACAAGGATGTGATATTGGCAAAAAATTAGTGTGATCATATATCATGAAGACGAAACCATTCTGGAGCAGGTAACACACACCTGTATATATTTGCTCTTCAACAGACAGAAGTTGGATTGGACCAAATGTACGCGTACACCTACTACTTGCCATCTTGCCTGAAGCCTCCACCCCACCCCACAAGAAAGAGACAAATATGCTCACACACACGCACGCACACACACACACACGCGCACACACACGCACGCACACAAGCAGTCTGCCGTGCAGTCACGCAAACACTAGCATGTAAGTTGCTGTGTACACTCCCGATGAACGCTGCCCCATTCAACCTCATTTCGGAGACTGTGTTCGATATATAAAACATACTGAACTAGTACAAGTACATGTCTCATCATCGGTTTTAAGTTTCGGTCATAATGGAAAACAAAATGGTCCTGAATTATTAACGTAAATACTTTTCCCCTTAAGATTTTGCCAAGAATACATTGTCCTCGAGAAAAGCTTTGGTCTTTTTTTCTGTTTACTAATTTCAAGATCAATATTTAAATGTAGCTGTAGTAGAACTTCTCGACACTGATGAAGCTTTTGGTGAGGTGAACGTTTAGTTTCATATTCAAGACTTTATCACTTATACAAACCCGTGCATGCACGTGTGTGTGACTGCTGCTTCTAAACACCAGGCGTCAGGTCTCTAGCACGGTTTGTTAAAAGTCGTAATGCAATCTTCAATACATGGTATGCTTATGTCAGAGGTCACGGTATTTGTCACATCCTTCACCTTGATAATAATAACTATGATAATAAAGATCCTAAAGCATCATCAAGCGATATGCCAATGTTATAATTGTACATTTTGTAAGAAATCATATAAATATGAATGCCTTTCAAGACAATAATCTAGGCACTCATCCAAGTTTAATCTGGCATTTTAATCTGGTTCATTTTAATCTGGTTCATTAGTTTCACCTGATGGTGGGATCAGAACAGGCCCCGAAACGTTGTATCAAAGAATTAAATGAAGATGAAATCCAGATAATTCTTTATGTTCATCAAGTTTATTCTGTTTTCGAAAATGTTTTATTCGCAAACCATATGGAAACTGAAATACTGACGATTATGCCAATACATATTTTCAGGAAACTTAATGTTAGTAAAAAAGTAAGATTGTTTATGGATTCTTATACCGTTGTCAAGCAACTTGCTTGACAACGGTATAAGAATCCATACCGAAACGTCGCATCATATATAATAAAAGAAGCTGTTATCCATAAACAATCTTACTTTCTTATTAGTCACCAACTTCTAAATGCCAATCAAACAGATCAACTCAATGTTGGAGTGAGTTTGGTTAAACAAAGTTTTTAACAGTAACTTAAGATGTCACCTCAACATTGATTGACAGTTCATAGTGATATGGGTCTTACACGTGGAAGTGTTCTGTAATTTGAACACACACACGCACGCGCACGCACGCACGCACGCACGCACGCACGCACACACACACACCACCACCACCACCCTGTAGTGATTTCAGGTAAGAATAGTTCCCCAAGCACACAATCCACCCCCATCCCGTAGTGATTCCAGGTATAAGAATAATTCCCCAAACAAACCATCAACACCCACCCTGTTGTGTTTCCAAAGATTACCTTCCCCACACAAACAGCCCACCCCCATACCGCAAGGATTCCACGTCATGACACAAACAATCCATGCCCACCCCGTAGGTGGCCCCCCAAACACACACACAAACAATGCACCGTGCTCCAGGTATGTGATGTATATCTATGTGTACACAAACACTGTTCGCATGTACATTACTATATTGTGGGGGTGAAGGTACTGTTTTCGATCAACAACACTGCAAGCACTAATCCCTGTACATGGGGAGTCTATATATAATAATACCCACATCAGTGTCGTGGACATGGCACCTGTATAGCGTTATATACCTACATTGATAAAAGACCTGCCATATATAATACCTTCCATACATTTCTGCATGTACTCAGCTTGACACCCCAGGTTAATCCAATCATGTAGAATTACACTTCATATGTTAACTCCAAGAGACTTTACGAATCATGGTGTTAAATATACTGGTTGCCATGCACCTTGATAAAGCTACGTTCCCGTTACGTTCATTCATGACTTGGGCAATATGCCCTTATCGTTAATTCCATGTTAACATAATATATAGTCTGTTTGCAGTTAAATCGTACCGATGAATATCACTTTAAACAAAAATGAAAATCAAATAAAGTGAAATTAAGATTCGGAATATTCATGATTTTACCTTGCCAGTTGAACATTTAAATCTCAGAATTTTATTCAACTTAGGGTAAAAGTTGTTTAACAAACGATCATAGTTTCAGATATAATTGGATTGTATTACAAGGGGGTCAGCGCAGTAGTTGGAACAGTGAAACAAATGCACATGCGGTGGTTTAGTCTCTACTCTTGCCACTAGTTCACCATTGCGTAATCAACAGTCAACAGACCATGACATGTTGTTTTAAGACTGTAGGCGAAATGGGATGTAGGCGAAATGAGAACATACCCATGCGGTGCGTGATGAGCGTTAACTTAGACCATCCCGACTTGTTCTCGGTGTTTCCTTTCATGTGCATACCCCCTTGTAATACAAACCAATGATAGCGATGTAAACTATGTTCGTTTGTTAAAGAACTTTTATCAGTCTTAATTTC